GGTATGTGTTACTTAGTATTACCTATGACTACGATACTCAATATATCTCTGTCATTATCTTGGGACCAGTCTGTCCACGCTCTGATCAGTCGCTCCGCCTATACCGCTTGCTCCGTTGTTCTGCTCTACCGCTTGCCCCGCTGCTCCGCTTAGTCACCCCGTCTCTGACGCTTTGTGACAAGATCCTCATCTCTTGCCTTTAAATCTTCAGGCTCGTCGCCTTGAAGTCTATCTTACTCAACCTTAGGACCAGTGTTCTTTGGTTCGCTCCTCGTCATCGGCGGTACTGCCGTGTTGGCTTGGCTGCTCCTGGTTCCTCCCTTCTCTACTCTCGATCTCAGGTGACTAGCGGTGTAATGGCGGTGTTGTTAATTTCACCACTGTCCCATCACAGCTTCCGCCCTTAGTTACCGATCGGCCTTTGGCACGGCTTACCGGTATACATGATCTTAACACGTACCATCCACCTTTACAAGACCCCTCACACCACACTGTGTGCCTCGCTAACATTCATACATTAGCTAAACACTTTCGCTGATTCATGACAACTGTACCGCCAGTAACCTCTTCTGTAAATCTCCTAAATCATCCAGCCTTCAACCATACCTTTTACTGTTAATGGCAGGCCCTTCCAAGTTCTGTTGGCTCTGGTTGGAAACTGAGAGGAGGTAGGACCGGCTTCATACACCTCATCCTCTCAATCTGAACCCCTCCACATTCCTGGCGATGCTGCTCTTTTGGTCCCCACACAGACCTCTCATTCCAGATTGCTCTTGGCTGTCATAATCCTTTCTGAAGAAAGAGCTTAGGGTCCATTATCCTTCAAAATGAAAAGTAAATACATAGAGTTAAACCATGATTTCACAAAGTCATCCTTCTCCTCTCCTGTTCCCCACTTGTTTCTCCACACTAAAAAATCATTCCGTTCTGGTAGTGCGATGAAAAACCCTTTTTAACCACAGTTAGCACCATATCAATCAGATAACTAATACAGTTCACCCTTTGCATTGATCTCTCCTCGGTTGCGCAATGGTTTATCCTGATTTGCGCAGGTGTTGTGCAAGCAGGTCATAGACTCCTTCGACCAGTCCATCACAACAACAAACACTGTCCCCACCGCTTTGGACTTGACCAGGGAGTGTTTCTTGCAGGTGTACACTTTTCCAAAAATATCCTCATCACGTCCTGGAAGTAGCATGTATTCGAATCCATCCATATTAATGAGTTTGTCTTGCAGGGTATGATTGTGCAATGGTGGATCCTTGGGATTCTCCACCATCACTGGCTGTCTACACGTCCGCCTGGTAGCCCGTTGCGCTTGTCGGTTCGGTGAGCAGGGAGACAGTCACTGCTCACCGAATGTTGGTGGTGTATTCCCTGTTTCAAGCACATGTAGGAACAAAATGTTGCTGGTCAATTTACCAAAATCACAAGCACCTGTCCGGCTCCACTTTTCCTCCCTCCCTTCAGCATCTGGCGACCCCTTGCGCTTGAGGTTTGATCCTGGCACAACCATTGACATGCACTCACAAAGAACAATGTATACAAGCCGTGTGATCGTTATTGCTTATTTAATACCATGTTCCATCAGCATGATCATGGCACTTCAGGCCTTCATAACTAGCCTAGAGTCCATTTGATTGTGCCACTCAACTTCTCCGTGGGGACTGTGTTTGTCAAGATCCAACCCAAGGACCCTCTTACAGCCTGCTGGCACATTTTCAATTACAAGTCTACTTCGTGTGTGTCCGTTTATTGTTTCCCAAGGGCATACATAAAAATTAGGCAGTGTTACATATGTAGTATGTGAACCCTTTGGGAGATTTATCCCAGGCAAAATCTACCGTGATATCCTTGTTTCCAGAGAGTAATTCATCTCATTGTTCCTCACTTGGCCAGTACCTTTTGAACCCATTCTCTCAGGCAAAATTCTCTTCTTCGATAGCCCTCCTCACCTCTCAGGCAGATTCCTGTGTGACATTCCCCGCAATATCTCTCTGCTGAAGCATCCAACGACGAAAGATTAGTGCCTTTGCTTGAAGCACCAGAAACTCGTGGGCGAAATCAACCACAAAGTTTGACTGGGATTTGTCAGCACTGTGCGTTACCCAGACGTTACCTTCAAGCCAATGTAGCAACCTTTTGATGTACGCATCGCCGACACCGTATGCGCGCGCAATACTACTAGGCATGCCCCCCTCATATGTACGCGTGTCGAGCACTCTCGCCAACTGAACCACATTAGTCACCATCAAAATTGTAATCAGGTCCTCCATCTTCCCCAGTGGGTTCAGATGGTGGCTGTTCTTCTCTGTCCACATTCCAAAACTTAGATAACGAAGCCTAACATCAAGTTGGGGTACATACGGTATCCTCCCGCGTGGAACGTCTTGTCCATTTTCTCCGACCAGAAGATCAATACACAAACCATGACATGCAGGGTATCATGGTAAACTGCGTCTGTTATTCCCCGGTGGGCGATGAAGGCATCAAGAAGACCATAGCAGCTTTCCTTCATTGTCCAAGTGAAAAGGAATTGCGATCCTTTAAGCAGTGAAGGTTCCAGGGTGAACAAAAGGTGCGGTACCAATGGTCCCATAAACCTTTGAAACCCAAAAAAACAGTTAGTCGAAAAGCATACCTCACCCACCAACAGTCACCACTTTCCAGGATCACACTATAGTAATCCCAACCCTCATCTTCTGCTTCCTCAAATCCTACCCTTAAAAACCCCTCCCTGTCGCTACCTATCTTGGGTTGCGCAAAGACCAGGCACCCCAAACCCCGACATAATTGCAACATGGATGCCTTCCCTGCATCCTCTACATGCCACTGTTGGATCACATTAGCCGTAGCTACCCGTCCCCATTCTCCACCACCTAATCCAAGCACAACAAACCTCAAGTTTTCAAGGTTTCTTACAAAGAGAATCGCCTCTTCATCAGTACCCAACCCAAACGACTTTGGATTAGCCATGTGAATGTCGATCCTCGTGCTATCCAAGATCTTGTTTCCACGTTGTGCACTATGCAGAATATCCCTTAGCGAGCCCTTGACGCGTATCTGATCTTCCAGATGCCTGTTGTCATCTGCTTGTATTAACCCCGCTCATGCAAATGGGGACGTCAACGTCGGTAACGTTCGAATTTGCGAATTTTGAGAGGTATAAAAGTCATTTATTTGGCTGTACCACGGCTTGACTGAGGCCTTGTATCGTTCATAGAGATAGCACTCTTGGATCACACTATACAGTGTACAACACAGCCATAGGTACCCCTTACATCCCTCCTCTGATTCAAGCTGATTTAAGCCAACATCCTTCAAGGATCCACCCTCCGCCAGTGCCTGTGATGCAGGTAGTCACTACTGATCATGACCGATTTCCAGATCACTAAACCAAAACGAAAAGTTGAATTAATGGAGGATGAGTTTGTCAAAAGCACTCACAAATGAGGATCAAAGGTCTTTGAATTCCACCGTGATGGGAGCACTATCACTGATCATAAATGTGCAAAGGTCGGGCCACCAAAATCCTTCGAGGAAACCCCCAGGATTCCCGTCAAATTTGAACCTGACTACTCCGTTTATATTCGCCGACGGAGTGCCCTTGAATGTCAGTTCCATCATGTCATGCCCCAGACGTTCTTTAATTTTCTCCGATCCGAATACCTTCCTGATTTCGTTCTCTACTGATATTTTCTTCTCCGAACTTAAGGCGGATATCTGATTGTCGCCACCAACACCCCTTCCATATTCCCTCTCCACCGTGTATGAGAGGGAAATGTGTCGAATAACTGATGACAAAATAACAATAATCATTTCTAATGTCCAATTGAGAATCAGATGACGAGAGAGCACCTTCTCCAGTACGAGGCAGAATTTCCCGACCACCAAACTGAGATGTTTGATCCAAAATGTCCAACTGCCAAAGGAAAAAGTGCCCAAGTCAGCACTGCAATAATTCATTGCGATACAGTCAATTACAGGTCGAGGTGCCGCCCATATGATAGAAGCAAGACCGAAGAGGAGAAAAATAGTTGTTGAGAGATGCATAGTGAAGTTGTGGTGAAATTTGCAACAGGTTTATTGTCATGCCAAAGGTCGTCAAATGGTTGAAGAAGGGGGTTGGTAATCGGGAAGCAACCAACAAGGCCTCGATCTTTGACCAGCAAAGCGAGGGTTTGAGGGGAGGGCTAGGGCTGGCTAGGGAGGGGTGATAAGAGGGTCTGACTTTCTCCAATTTATACAAATCGCTCAGGTCATCAAATGATGAAACTGCTCAAGCAAGCCTTAGGCCCTGAGCAAGGGTTGCCAGTAATTGATTGTTTGCTAGGATGAGAGCCATAGGAGTCATGATGGTTCAAATAAAATCCCTCCCTCCCCAAATTGAGGACCCATTCGAACAAAAGACCGCCGTCGGCAAAAGCCAGTATGAAGTTTGGACAAAACACCCTTATCTATCTATCCCTCAGCTTCGGATGGTCAATATGGGAAATAAACAAAATTTTGAAATTTGCATTCTGCCCGCTTCAGAAATTTTGTGCAAAAATCCCTCAGGGTAAAATTCTGTAAAATTTCATATGACCCGGGGATTATAGGGTACGTACAATCATCCTGAGTAGCGTTTACCACTCGTTCACTGGGCTCATAGGAGCTATTCGCAAATTCATCTCAAGTTTATATCGAAGCGAGGCAAGGAAACAACTGAGTGGAAACTGCCGTCAATTCAAGATTCATATATCGCAAGATTTCCAAGTCTAATTACCCATATTTGGATAGAGAGTCGCTGTAGGCCGACTAGCTCAGCTGGTTAGAGCGTCGTGCTAATATGATTATAGAACGCGAAGGTCTTGGGTTCGATCCCCACGTTGGCCAGTGGATTTTTTCTTACTTCGACGTGGAAGTAATTGTCCTAAGCATTTGCTTACGATGTACCCGAATCATAATCCCGTCGACGATCCCAAAACGCTGGCGAATTTTGTCCCGTTGGATCCCGTTTCTCGTCGTGCGTACGCTCTATCGTGCGAACATCTCCCTCCCGCAATCTTGAATCACTCTTTCCGTGTCTGGATCTACGCAGCGACACTCAGCGGGCTTGAGAAGCTCTCTTCTTCTCGACTGCCTCTGCTATTCACTGCTTGTATCCTCCATGATATCGGTGCTACCCCTGCTTTCTCCAACTTGGACTCGGAGAAGCTTCAGCGTTTCGAAATTGAAGGAGCAGACGCGGCAGCGTCTCTTTTACGAGAAGCCAGAGATTCTTCCATCTCACAAGATGATATCGAAGAAGTTTGGCGCGCTATAGCTCTTCACTCTACTCCCCAAATTCCAGAGCGAATGGGGGGGCTGGTTCGCATCGTTCGACTTGCCGTTTTGAGTGATTTTCAGCGAGGCACTGTTGCTGGGAAGGAAGGGTTACAGGAAGATACCGAGACTCATTTTGGAAGATTGGAAATTGAAAAGGTTCTTGGGGATGCTGTGGTTCAGCAGGCATTGTGCAGTAGAGTGCCAGAGGCCAAAGCCCCGGCCGCAAGTTGGCCTCACGACTTATTGAGGGCTCATCGAGAATATCCTGAATGGGAAGGTGTTAATAAAGGCTTTTAGCTTGTGATGTCACGGTTCTGATCACACAAGTTTGTTTTGTGCGAGTCTGCCTAAGGGAGTCTATGTTGCAGGTGCGTCGTGGAGTTAGGGAACCTAATTTACAAGCATTCATAGAGATTTGCGGTGCTTGGAATCACGGCTAAGTTCTAATGTCCGTAGTCACAAGAGTTAATTCAAGTTTCCATCCAAATGTCCAGTAACACCCTTCTCCAGATCGATTCCGGAATCCGTGCCTTTTCCTGCTCCGACAGCTCCTCTCAATCCAAGCCCAAACAATGGACGACGTGAAGGTTGTTCATCGGGGATGCCTTTGGTTCCAACATGTCGGTCTCGTTCTCTACCTCGTATCACGTCAGCAGCTACGTCGATTGCGGGACGCCGATGACTATGATCTGCCGTTAGTGGAAAGTCCTTGGTCTGTTGCGTGCGTAACTCTTTCACTCGATCCGGAATGATCACCGTATGAGCGTCTGTGCTTCTTCTCCGCGATGTTTCAAGTGTATGTGTATCGTGCGGATAGGGAGTAGTACCTTCCCTATTCTGGATCTGAGCTTCGATATATACCCGAGTCCTTCCACCATTCCCAAAACCATTCGAGCCATAACTTTGCAGTGTGCGCACTATGAGAAGGAAGTACAGCATTCCGAGGAGGAAGACGAGCGTGATAGCGATTCGGGGGCCAAGCGCCGCCCTGTTACTGAGCGGTGCGCGTTCATCAGGATCGGATTCGGCACCAGTTCGCCAGACGAAAGATAAAATCGATACGATGAAGAGAATCATCGACCATGACATCCAGGCTGCCGGCATTGCAAGTAAAATCCAGACATTCCACCAAACCACTGTCTTCGTCTTCTGTGCTTCCTGTGATTGGAAAGGTGAGGTTAGGTATGAATTGTGAATGGATAACAAAGACCATACTTCAGCCCAGATAGAAGCACGATACATACTCCTCATCGTCCCAAAACGTACAATATACATACATCCGTATGAAAGGCTCATGATAGCACAAATTAGAGAAAGCAAAGCAGCGGTTCTCGTGAGGGGGTCAGTCGCAGCGTCTTCGATTTGGAACATGGTCAAGATAGCACTAGAGTTGTGATTGTTAGTCGTGGATATCGTCAAAGAAAAGAACTCCGTACGATAATAATAAAGCAGATACAACATTCAAAGTTTTCCATTCTCTCATCAATGAATCGATGAACGCTTCCCAAGAAAGCTTGAAACGTATAAGCGACGAGGATACCAATGGGAGACTCCATTCTTCTGGTAAAGGTAGCGGAAGGTCGACTACGGAGGCTGCTGCCGCTAAATTTGGAGCAGATGTTGAACGCAGGTCAGCACCGGCGGGAGTGCTTAAAGTATTATTTGGAAGCGGCATCTTCATGTTTGTTCCTGCGTTAGCAGCATCGATATTATAAGCAGTCATAGTTGCGTTTGTTTGACTGTGTTGGAAATGACTACCACCCCTTCCGCAGGCATCGATCATGCGCTTAATATCAGGCTTGCTGACCTCTGCATCTTCAAATATCCGTGCGACACGCGAAAAATACATCGACGGAATACGCAAGAGCAAATGTAGATAAATCAACCGTGGAAGAGTGTCTAGGAAAAAGATACGTATCATGTGAACATCCATGGAGTGGACATGGTTGGATTTATGTACATGGGTCGCGAATGCGTTGTCCTCCCTTCGAGCATGAAGGTCGGCTGAATAATGAGCAGTCTCAGTACGATGAGAGTGACTTTCGGTTTTCATCGGAAATCCTTCTGGGTCACTGGTATGGCTACGCAGTCGTTTCCGGATCCACATCGGGAGATGGAGCCTGGGAATTCCGAGAGGGAGAAGAAACTGGGATTGAAAAGGATCAACAGGAATGAAAGGCTCTTCGTGGTGACTGGTGTGTGTTCGATGATGGATACCTTGAGACCATTGCTGGAGTATTCTAAGAGGTGACGCTGCCCTGGAGCGAGAATGCGATGGAGACCGAGAGCCAGCATTGAAATGACCATCTTGTTTGATGACGTAGTCGCCGGAAACAACATTAGAGGAAGAAGTAGGATCACTGCCTCGGCGAAGCCGATGTAGAACTGGCAACACGATCAGCATACACAGTATAATGGAAATATCAACGATATTGACCTTGTCTAACGCTTTGCATTGTAGGTAACGATGTACGGTCGCTTTCCAACGACGCCCGCCGAGCAGTGTCATGGTCGAGAGAGCCCTCAGACGCGCTGACACGAGGTCGTCTTGCATCTTTGGATGTCCCATTGTCAGCATCTGGAAGCGTGGGGCTGAATCCAGCAAATGACTCCATATTGTTTCCAGACTGGGATATGCTTGGCCAAGATCTGGACGCATCAAGACTATGTCTGAAAATTCGAGGTGACTGGCCATGATTGTTCAATATAGGAGATCGGCCTCCACGATTGTTGAGATTCGGGCTGACTATTGACGGAGGCAATGCAGATAGCTTGTCAGAGTAAGTCAAAGTAGAGGTGGCGTTAGAGTCTAGTATAAAGTGTTACATGTACACAGTAGTGATCGTGCTAATGCAGACTCACCTGGAGAAATGGACGGAGGAGTATTTCCGTCTTCTTGCAAAGAAGGAAAGAGCATAGAAGAAGGCCCGAAGTCTTGTCTGACGCGGTCTACGCTAGTTTCAGCAGTGTCTTCCACATTCCCAGTCACTAAATTCTCTTGAGAAGTCATCGTGATACCGTGTGCTGAGCTTGGTTGGTATTGTGAATGGGAGTTGTTCGCCTGGTAGTACTTATTTACTCGATTGTCCTTCCAAGGCTCGAGATGCCATAAATATCGCAAGGGTAGGAAGAGAGGCCGGAGCTAGAGGAGCAGACAGTACAGTGATTCGTGCTGTATTCAACTGTGCATGAACGTCGTACGTAGAGATTCGAGAAAGAAAGCTGGAAAAGGAACCTTCACGCGTGACGCAACAGCACGTGACACTCTGTGTAATAAAGATCCGGAACCGCGTTTATGAGTACTGGTACTCAGACTGGTACCACTCTCTGACTCTCTTCAAGACTTGCACTTTAGATTTTTGACTCAAAATATTCCAAACTACTCTTCCTACTGCCGCATAATGCCTGCTGTCCGATCTTCAGCTCAACTTATAGAACTAGACAGTGAAGCTCGCGTGATCTACTATCCTGCAAGCCAAGCTGAAAGGGCTACTTTTAGAACGATTAATGGAAAGGTAGGTTGTTATATCTTTATACAGCTCATCCTGGCGTCTTCAATATTATCATAGCGCTTGACTGAGCACCAATGGAATGTATACGACTTTACCAAGTCAATACCGAGCGGACAAGTTTCGACCTACGCTGAGGTATGTCGAGCTGTTGGAGGCTCACCTCGTTCAGGTACGAGCTTGTTCAAATGCTTTCAATCCTCTCCTCAGAATCATTGATAACATTACACAGTTGGAAACGCACTCCGACACAATCCATTTGCGCCATGCGTCCCTTGTCATCGTGTCATAGCCTCCTCGCTCTACATCGGTGGCTTCGTTGGCGAGTGGGGTCCCGATAGCAAGACCAAGACACAATATCATAGGAAAGTGGCGATATTGAAGGAAGAAGGCGTGATATTTACAGAAAAAGGTTTTTTGAAGGAGAAGGAGCGAGTCTGGAAAGAAGGCAAGAACTTATGTTGAGGAGGACATACTGAATGAGTTTAAAATAGTACACAAGCACATATTTTGTGGCAATTGGTGCTTGTCAGATTGATGAAAATATCATACTTCGTGTGTACTTCGTTCTGTTTCTCTGTCAATCACAGATAAGATGTGCAGTATGTACCAATACAGTGTCAACTGGGTTCTAACTTGGTTGGCAGGAAGGATTGATCCAAGTTTTTCTAAGGTCCCGTTGAAGGGTATCCGCCCAGGAGGGAGGGAGAATTCTGTAAGTGCAGGGCGTGCATGCTTGATTTTACCGACACACGTTCAGCTAGAAAAATCAACTACAATCGCGCCTCGACACTGTTCACCTCAAGACGTCGCGTTCACCAAAGTCGACTTGGACTCCCCTCTCCATAAGGCACTGGAAAGTAGCATCAACAAGTCCATCCAGCTGCCATTTGTAACACATACGTTCGTGTGAGGCCTGGGCGTCTGATCAGTCTCTACACCCCTCGTGCATAAATATACCCAAGAACATGCAGTCTTGACACCGTGACCCGTTCAACTCCAGGTGATGCGCTGGAGGTCCGTGTATAACTAAGACATCTGTATGTAGTGGAATAGCTG